GTGTAGGTTTTACAAAATGGCCGGGGGTTGTATGCTTTTCTCTCACTCTCCTGAAAACAGATTAACACAGATAATCCATCTCACCAAACCTTCTGATTTTGCCGTCTGTGGTGCTCAGAAAAAAAAGTCCAATCGTCCTGATCTTCAGAAACTGAACGGCTGTTAAAAGTTACTCTACTAGTGACTGTAGTTTTAAACAAATACGACTGAGGCAGAAGGGAAGGACTAAAAGGATAGCAGAGGTAATAAAATCAAAACTCACCATGAGATATGTGAACATCTTCTGCAGCTCCAGCAGTGTTGTCTTGTGTTTGATATCTTCAGCGTACTGCACGCAAACACAGAGGGTGAGGACCTGTGTGCCATTTGAATTTTAATGACGTTATTGTAACATAATCTTTCAGATACTGACCTTGGCAGTGAAGACAGCCTGGCGGGCCTCAGGGATCATATAGAGCTGCTGGATGGTAGAGGCCAGGTAGCATGTTGCTCCCAGGTTGGTCAGACCCACGAAGCGGCACTCAGCCCGGACGTCGTCATGGGGCCAGTAGTCCCACTTGTATGGAGCATGAGAGCCTAGAAGCCAAATATTAAAACAAAGTTTGAGTTCTGTGTCACACCTGTCTTTTTATTAAATTATTCAAACTGGCGGTTGCATTATTGCAGGGGTGTCAAACTCAAATACACAGTGGGCCAAAATTCAAAACTGGAACAAAGTCGCGGGCTAATGTTAATATTTATTGGGGGAAAAAAAATCTTCCTCCAGATATAAGAATATATGAAAAACTGAATATGGAACAAGCAAAGTTTAATACTAAATGATATATATTAGCTGTATAACACCAGTAGGCCAGCTCTAATAGTAATCTGGTATGGCCTTAAAACAAACTAAACTTGCAGAACAGTCTGGTAATCTGTAGGGGTGGGGAAAAAATCGATACTGTGTAGTATCGTGATATTTTGTTTGCTAATAATGTATCGATACAGGGACAGCAGAAATCGATATTTTGTTACAAAAAACGGTTTTTCTCTGACTTCAGAGCATGTTGATCCTTTTTCTGAGCAAGAATCCTGACATTCCTTCACTGTCCAAATGTGTTTAATAAACATGACAGTTTACTTATTTTAATTTAAGACATGTTTTATTTTAATTAAGTTTAAAACGTTTTTATTTAATGTAAAATTATATTTTGTTTTAATTTACTTTCAAATTCTTCAGTTGCTGAAGGGGCTGCATAGTTTTCATAAATTGCATAGTTCAGAATAGCTATAATTGTACCAGATGGTTGCGTTCAGTTAAGTTGGACTAGACTGTAATACAAACCGTTCAGTTTGTCAACAATAAAACTGAAATGAGAGAAAGACTGAGTGTGAGACTTTGATATTAGATTAAATGAATATTGATAAAGTTTACCTTTATGTACAGAATCTGAATATCTCAAAATATATATATATATATATATATTTTTTTTTTTTAAATCGCAATAATATCGTATCGTGGGATGTATGGTGATTCCCACCTCTAGTAATCTGGTTGTTAAAGCTATGATTAAAATTAGGCATGGTGTAAAAACATATCTAAAATTAAGTTAAAAATAATAATAGGATTCTGCACTTCTGTAGAGCTTTGTAGACAGTTTCAGCTCATAGTGCTCTTTAAAACACTTTCACAACATAGTTCTGACAAAAAGTGTCCCAGTCTCTTCAGCATTAGTCCCAATTGTGGGTCAATGTCTTGTAGAAGAAGACTGGATTCACTGTGGCAAAGCTTAAATTGAGTCAGATCACTGACCTAGAGGACTACTGACACAGAGCTTGCATATACAGACAGAAACACAGTACACAGAAGTGAAATAAACTACAGAAAGAGCACTACCAAATAAAAGTAATCAAAAAGTGAAGCTCTTCACCCTGCATGTGCTGAGACATGACCCAATTATGGAGCAGCCGATAGTTTTCTACCGAGCCCTTCACCGTCTCCACCAACAGATCATAGGCGGCGGCCCTTGCAGCGTGGGACTTGCACTTGGGCTGAGCACGGTCGACCAGACTGGGGAGGAGGAAGAGGAGGTTGTAGACATCCCTCAGAAACTCCTGCCCCTCACGGGAGAACTTAAAAGGAGGCTTGTGTTTGAGGACGCTGGTGGCAAGACGAAGGAGCCCTGTCAGGCCGTCGTCTTCGATTGTTCCATCTTGTTGGTCCAAGATCTCACGGCTGGAAGTGAAAGAGTCATGTTTACATCAAAGCAGTATCAATTGTGGAAATTTGCCATTTGGTTTAATTTTAAAAGCCACTGCCATCAGTAATATTGTCAGCATGAACTTTCAGCAAAATGCAAACATCCTTTAAATTTTTGTATACTGAGCATAAAATTCAGTTTGTGACAATCAGACCTCCTAATGCAGTCGGCAAGATGTCGGGCAAGAGCATCCAGGTCCAGCAGGGTGGTCTGCATCGAGCCGGCCAGCGACAGAGAGGGAGAGACCTTCTGTGAGTTCAAACAGATCAATACTAGCAGCAGTTCAATACAAAAATCAAAACGTTACTACAAACTCAAATCTACTAAATCAACAGGTTGGTGTGATCATCAGCATTGTGGTTTGACGTTCCCACCTGGCTCGCATCTTTAACGTGGATGTTATCGATGAGTTTGCAGAGCAGCCAGAAGTATTCCTTACAGCCTGTCCTTAACAGAGGCTCCTCTTCATAGTCTTCGACCTGCAAATATAAATGCACAGTTACTGCTTAAGAACATCCCAATGAAAGTCTCATGATGTGATCTAATAGAGTGCATGTCAGGTTCTGCTGCATTAAACCAATGTGAGAAACAAGGCTTAGTAGAAACAAACCAGATTCAAAGTAGCAAAGGTCAAACTGAGTCCAACATTGCCTCTGAGGAGTACTGACACACGTACCGCTTCCATGCAAGTACTTGCCTTTAAGAGGCTAAGCTACTTGAGTGTGAGACCTACCCTTAGTGGTTTGAGGGCCTGGGCGTCGGGCAGGAACTTGAGCAGTGTGGAGGCGGCGAGCAGCAGGAAGGATCTGTTGA